AAATGGTCTACACATATACAGCGCTTTTATCCAAATAAAACACAACTAAATACACAGAAATTTATAAAAAAAAAAAAAAAAACAAGAAGATGAAACAGAGAGAAGAAAAACTGGAAATCTGGAAAAAATAAAATGAAATCCTAAATGGTCTAAAATTATATAAATGGTCTACACATATACAGCGCTTTTATCCAAAGTGCTTTATAATGTGTTTCTCATACACCAGTGGTGACAGAGCTGCCATGCAAGGTGCTGCCTGCCATTGGGAACAACGTTGGGTTCAGTTTCTTGCCCAAAGACACACGTATCCATCATCTCGTGCAATATTTCTTAAATCTTTTATTTCTTTTTATATATTTATCCTTTTTAATCTCTATATTTAACTGAGCAATTTTGCACTTTATTTTGTCTTTCTTGGTTTTGTTTTTTACTTGCACTGAAAATAGGAGAAGCTCTCCAATCCGGTTGTATGCTGTATAATGACAATAAAGGTCATTCATTCATTCATTCATTCATTCATTCATTCATTCATTCATTCATTCATTCGACTGTGGAAGGGGCGGTGATCAAACTGCCAACCTTGTGACTGAAGGATAACCAGCTCTACCGCCTGAGCCACAGCCGCCCAAATCCTGAATAATTAATCATTGTGGCTCAATAATCATACATCAAAAGAAACCAGAAAGAAGAACAGCTAAAAATCAAGACAGAAAATTGCAAAATTAAAAATAATATTAATATCAAACAAAGCAAACAAATAAATAAGAAATTAAGGGATCATTCCACCTCAGTTCACCAGATTTTAAAAGATCTTCCTGCATGAATTTTTTGGATTGGGTTAAAAAAAATTTGAGGAAGGAGGACTATTATGAAGATGGCATGATCCCAAGTTTTAGGGTCATAACTGTACTGGTTTTTGCAACAAAAAATAATGAAAAAAAAATCATTTTTAAAAAAATAGTTTTTGCCAAATTTCTTGCTCAACGTTGGATGGCAATATCTCAAGAAGCATTTAAGGTACAGACTTCAAATGTGAGAACACATTTCTCCTCTACTAGAGGTGTTTAATGGGTCCCTCAGTGCATATGCTGAGATACTATGGCCTGTTCAATGTAAGGAAATATTAACTCCTGGGACCATTTTGTCCACCCATAGAACATACAGGATTTATAGAAGTCTGAAGT